TTGTACTGCGTATGGCATTCGGGCCACCTGGACTGGCCATGGCTGTGGAGAAGAGTTAAACTGAATTCATAACAAAACACAATCAGGATGCTGCCAGGCTTAAAAGAAGAACTTGATTTGCACTACTGTATGCATGCCCTACTCAGTACACCTGGAGAAGCACTCTTTGCAGTACAGCCCAGCAGTGCATTCAGAGAGAACCTTGATACACACCATTCCTCCTCAGTAGAGTTTTCCTTCCAGAAACAACCTTTGAGAACATCCACAAAGGAGAAAACAAAGCATTTTAAGTCTAAGAGGAATGGAGAGCATACCAGGGCACACTACAAAGCCCTGCAGTAAGAATGCGACTTTTCAATCTCTTAAACCTCTTGTCAAGTGACACACTGCAATCTTCCAAATTCTGTACACCTTTCCTCTGCACTTACATCAAGAGAAACACACGCCGTAGCTCAGGTTCTGGAATCTTACTAGTTGCAGCAGCATGATACACATTCCAGATTTAGTTCATGAGCTCCTTACTGCTGCAATTTCTGCTGAAATGAGCTCAAGTATCTCACACTTTAGTCAGAGAAGTGTATGTTTTTATACACTTAGAAAAACACTTAAAGATGTTGGTTTTTTCTGACAAGAGTCAGAAATATATAAACAAGTATATACATGTTTTTATATATAAATATATATATATATATACAAAACACTACAAAAGCAATATTTTGGGATCTGTTAATATTTTCAAATTATTCTGTATTACTTTGACAGCAGACTCTAGTTCTCTACTTTACAAATTGTTAAAGTAGTTTGAATTCATACTTTCAGGGGAAAAAAATGTGAACTATGGGTATCAGATACCAGATTTTAGTTTTGATTTTGTAAAGATACCTTGGGTTAAACATAATAGTAATTCAGACATAAGCACAGGACCAGTTTCTGGGCTGGAAAATTTAGTGTTTATTACTCACAAATTGTCATCTGTTTTAAATATTATTTATTGATATAGTAGTTTTGACAGCAAGTGTGGATTATTCATCCTGGCATAAGATGTTTAGACTTTACTTACCTGGTGTAAGAAGGTTGCTTTTCTAGAAAGAGAGAGAAATAAAAGCTTAGTGAAAAAGTACTTCTGACAGCTTCTACAGAAGACAAAGTCAAAGTAAAAAGAAATTAGATTTGAAGTACTTTTAAAAACCCAGTCAAACAGAAAAAATAATCAAAAAGAAAGTCCAAACAAATGTGTAGTAACTGCGTATTTCCTGCATTACATACGAAACAGAGCTATTTCTGGGGCTGATGACTGAAAAATTTGGCAAAAAACTAGACAATTTATAGAGCCTTACATAAGGGACAGAAACAACCTATTGTGGGTACAGCTTTAATCTGTGTGAGAACACAGCCTTTGGAAAGGGTCATAGTCAGATCTTGTTACAATATTACATTCATACCTACCGAGGTAATAGATGTCAATAATCTCTTTGGAGTAATAACCTACAAAAGAAGACAAGAAGATAAATCCATTTGCAACTGAATTTGTCCACCACAGCTGCATGAAAACTAGACAGTGAAACTACTGGAGGCTTATCTCAAATTTTGACTGGGTACTCATTACTATGAATAAGTCTTCGGTTTTGACCGGACATAATATATCTCAGTGGAAGAAATGCTAGGCATCAAAGAAATAATTACTGCAGAAAAGTTAAAGCATGCATGAACTTGGGATGATTAGCATATTTAAGAAAATCATTCTTAGTAGGCCTTTTTACCTATATAATGGGATTTCAAAGTTACATTTGCATAACTAAAGGTAAGAGTTAATAAAAGTATGGATATGTCAATATATTGCTGTTACACATTATTGTTTTAAAATTAAAATATCAAAGTTTAAGTGAGACTGTATATTAAACACAAACTGGAACTAAGTGCTCTTTTTGAGGATGAAAGACAAGTATAAGCAGTATATCTCCTTGTCAAAAAGGAGATATAGGATGCCACTGGCAAACCTATAATCTCGTGTCAGCAACATACTGTAGCACAAAATCATTCAGTTTCAAGTAAAAATTCCTTTAAACTACAGCACAGGAAAGAATTAAACCCTGGGACTTTAAACTTTTATTAGAGAATAGGTGGAAGCTT